TTATTGGATCCTACAGAAAAATTATAAAATGGCAAAAATACCCTTGGTGTTCAATTCAGTCCAAATCCCAAGTACCATCAYTATGYCATATYAGGACCTGTTGTAAGGCCTTCTTTCTAGAATAAGTCTTCAAGGGTGCTGATCGTTTCCTATCAGGTGGCTACTGTGACTAGGCCTTTTTTCTTTACTTTTTATGGAAGTTTAACCATGTATCCTTCTCCTATTTGTACACCATCAAACAGCCTCCCCAGACAACTGATTCTTGTTGTCACCCTCCTTGGTCAAGGTATCAACAAAGCCATTTGATTTTGCTGATCTGTGAACCCATGAATATGTAATGTTTAAATCTTGTCATTGCTAAGTACTAACAATAAGAAAAAAGGTTTCTTGTCATTGCTTTAATCTCCCTCATGGTGCTTCTATAGTTTATTTTTTTACTAGGGATTTAATTTTGTGCCTTGACTAATGAGCTAGCTTTATCAAAGTCTCCATGTACCATAAAATATAGGAAGATTTACATTCTTTATTATGACTGTTATTTTTCAAAATAATTTTCTGAGGTTGTCAGGATGCCATTGACAGTCAAGAGAAGAAACTGGAAAGTCTTTACTTTTTTTCCCCAGACTAGTTCATATCATACATGAATAAAGTTTTAATTTCTATTTTTTATCTTCTATGATACCAAAGAAAACAATGATGGTCCTAATTGGGGAAGTTTTGATATTAGTCTTGTTGCAGAAGGCTCTAGATCCACCAGATCTTGATGTTATTGAAGATGCATTAAGTTCGCTTGTTCACATCCGTGCATTGGAAAAACTTGCCACTCATAGAGGGCGGTATGAACCGACATTTTATGGACGACTGCTTGCCAGTCTCTCTTTGTCTTTTGATGCTTCTATGCTTATATTCAAGTTTGGAGACATTGGACTGCTCCGTGAAGGCATTTTGATTGGTGTTTTAATGGACACACAGCCTCTGCCCATTCTCCATCCTTTTGGACAGGAAATTTTGGTATATTATCTATTCAGTATTTTCACATTTCAATTTGTATATGCAAATGGATAATCATGCAATCCTTGTTTCTATTAATCAGTTTTCAGAGTACATAGAAAACTACTTTGATGGAAATAATGAGAATGCAGTTGCTACTGGCAAAAAGGAATTGTTATTCATGGGAAACTTCTGTGCATTTCAGTTTTGGCAACGTGTCTTCAAGGTAGTCTTTTAATATCCACTTTAATATAAGCAACATGCACCTTATAATCTCTTTCTGAGAAGAGATTGACTTACAGGATGAAATACCACCCCCCCCTCCCCCAAAATCAAATTTGAATTTTACATGGGACACCTACTATAATGTTTTTCTTCGTTCATATTCTTCAATTCTAATGCAAGAGAAGGAAAAGGTTAGATGGCTGCTACAAGCCTGCAAGTCATGAAAAAAAATCTTATTTACAATCTTCTAGGTTTGAAGATGTCAGCTAGACTAAAGAATTAATTTGATCTCAATTAGATCAATTAATTAATTTGGTAACAAATATCTTTATTCTTTGAAGGATAAGCATCGTCTTGAAAGGCTGAAACAACTTGTAAATTTTGATGAGCCAAAATCTAAAGGGATACTTCTCTCAAAGCTTGAAGATGAATGGTGTTCTTTCCACAATCTTGTGCAATCATCACTTCATCATGTTTCAGAAATATGTATAACTTCCTTTACAATGTATTACAGAAAATTTTTCAGATGTAAGCTCTTTGTATAACTTCCTCCTGTCTTTCTGTGCAGATGATGATATACTAAATGCTCTACACCGTTTTCGGCCCAAATTTCTGGTCACGTCAGATGGACTACCTTCTTATTATGATCCTTACGAATTTGAACATACTTGTCTCCTTCAATCTCAGCAAGCTACTAATGTAGATGCACTTGTGACGGATGATGAAGACCTTGACCCAACTACTGAATTTAGGAACTGTCTTTCTGTACCATATGTTGGTCCTGAACACTTTCGAGCCAATATTCTGGCGGCAAAGTTGGTCGATATTATCAAAGAGGTATTATGTCATGTGCCTTGTGTAGTTTCTTCACCATGAAGAATGATCTTCTCCTTGTTTTGTTGGCAGATAAGAGTTCAATATACAGAAGAAACATCTGGATATCAACATAAATGTGAAAATGACATGGGCGCTCATATCCCAAATGAGGCTGCTATGTGCATTTTCTTCATAAATGGATCTTGCAATAAAGGCAACAATTGTAGCTTCTCCCATTCTCTTCAAGCCAAAAGACCTGTATGCAAGTTTTTCTTTTCTTTTCAGGTATTTACTTGCTTGGCTTCAATTTCTTTGTGCTTTTCATTCTAATGGGTTTTTCAACCATGAACAACACAAAACCTTTACTGTTTTTTAGGTTTGGATTGGATATCTAAACTGATTAGTCAGATTGGGCATCTTCCTGTGAGTAGAAATTTTCTGAATTAAAAAATATGAAAGAAAAGTAGTTTCTTGAAGAGAGAAGGAGAAGAAGATAAGTTAAAAAGAAAAGAGAGCAATAATCTGGCTGCCCCCTTCACTTATTGTTTATACTAAAAATAATAGAACAATACAAAGACAACTATGCCCTTATAGGGTGGCAAAACATAAAACAGCATATATAACACTCAAAAACATAATAAAATTTGGACTCACATAACTATTGTGGTCCCCACCTCCTATCTAACAACTAACATAAAACATCTACTCAGAAAAACATCATAAAACTGATTAATCTTCAACACTCCCCCTCAAGTTGGGAGTAAATGTCACACATTCCCAACTTGCGTAGATCATGTTCAAGCTTGTTCTTTGCCACCCCTTTAGTGAGAACATCAGCTAGCTGCAACTCTGAAGAGGCATAAGGCAAACAAACTTCTCTGTTTGTTACCCTTTCTCTTATAAAGTGTCTATCAACTTCAATGTGTTTTGCCCTATCATGCTGAAATGGATTGTGGAAAATATTGATTACAGCCTGATTGTCACAGTATAACATCATAGGTTCCTCTGCTTTCACCCCAATTTCACTCAAAAGAGATCTAACCCAAAGAAGTTCTGAGACACCGTGGGCCATGGATCTATACTCAGCCTTTGCACTTGACCTTGCCACAACCACTTGCTTCTTACTCTTCCGGGAGATCAAGTTTCCACCTACAAAGGTACACACTCCTGATGTAGACCTCCTGTCATTTAAGCATTCTGCCCAGTCTGCATCTGTATTAGATTCTGGCTTCAAATTCTCATGATTTGAGAAAAGAATGCCTTTGCCAGGGTGCTTTTTCAGATATGCAAGTATTCTCTCAATAGCTTCCCGGTGTTGAACCTGAGGTGCATGCATGTATTGACTCAACACTGACATCATAAGAAATATCTGGTCGTGTCATACATAAATATAGCAGTCGGCCCACTATTCTTTGATTATCTCCCTACATCCTTTACCAATTCACCATCCATACCATTAATTCTGTGATTTGGATCAATAGGAGTGTCTACTGGTTTGGTCCCTAGCTTCCCAGTCTCCCGCAGTAGGTCAAGTACATACTTTCTCTGTGAAATAAAGATCCCATGCTTGGATCTTGCAACTTCAATCCCCAAGAAGTATTTGAGCTCACCAAGATCTTTGATGTCAAATTCTTGTTGCAATGATTTTTTTAGATCATCAATCACAATCAGAATTGACACCAAAACATCTCTCCTCTTCACAAAGAGGGTGTGATCAGATTGTGTCTGTGTATCCAAAATGGATGAGTGCCCCTTTGAAATGATCAAACCAAGCCCTAGGTGATTGTTTCAGTCCATACAGAGATTTTCTGAGTCTGCACACCTTTCCTTTACCAACATTTTCATAAAAGCTTGCTGGAATGTCCATATATACTTTCTCCTGTAAATCACCATTGAGGAAGGCTTTTTTAACATCAAGCTGGAACAAGGGCCATGAATAGGTGGTTGCTAGAGATAATAGGATACAAACTGAACTCATCTTAGCTACTGGTGCAAAGGTTTGCAGATAATCAACACCATAGGTCTGAGTATACCCTTTTGCTACTAACCTTAACTTGTACCTCTCTATCTTGCCATCGGCCTTATACTTCACTGTGAATACCCATCTACATCCGACTGTCTCCTTGTTTGGGGTGAGATCAACTATTTCCCAAGTTTGGTTTTTGACCAAAGCATCCATCTCATCTTGCATGGTTGTTTTCCACTCAGGTTTGGAGAGAGCCTCGGTTACATTCCTGGGTATAGACACAGAATCCAAGGAAGAAAGAAAAGCATAGTAGGAGGGTGATAAGGCACTGAAGGAAAGATAGTGTGAAATGCAGTGGGCTTTACACTTTCTCTTCCCCTTACGAAATGCAATGGGAAGATCAAGGTCAGTGGGATCAGTTGCAACAATGGGGTTTGGGACAGGAATATTATCATTAGAAAACATAACAGGCTCAGGCTTAAGAGGAATACCTGGAAACGTATCTGCCGAATTTGGAGTTTCAGAAGGACTGATAGAGAGTGGTGTGGGTTGAGGATGTGTGGAGTCAACCATCATCTTTTGGCACTGATATTTCTGTGAGGCTACCCGTAGTGGCTCAGGTAATGAAACCGGAGGTGCAGGTGCTGGCTGAACTAATAGAGGTGAGGGACCAAAGAAACAGGAAGAGGAACAAATTGTGAGTTCTCCTCCCCAAAACTCTCCACCTGAGGAGAACCACTCGAGAAGAAGAAGGTGGATTCAAAGACGGTAACATCCATAGTGACAAATCATCTCCTTGACACTGGGTCATAACAACAATAATACCCCTTTTGGTTCTGAGCATACCCAAGAAAAACACATTTCTTGGCCTTATGATCCAATTTTTTGCGATGAGGGCCAAGAATGTGAACAAAGGAAATACAGCCAAAAACCCTCAGAGGTATATGAAATATCTCCCCATTTGGAAAAAGAAGACTAAATGGCACCTTAAACCCCAAAGTCTGTGAAGGAACACAGTTAATCAAATGCACAGCTGTAAGAACTGCATCTCCCCAAAACTGGACAGGAATTGAAGCACACACCATAAGACTCCTTGCCACCTCCACAATGTGTTTGTTTTTCCTCTTGGCAACTTCATTCTGTTGTGGTGTATATGCACAACTGCTCTGATGAACTACACCATGTTCTAAGAGATACGTGGTTAGGTCCTTCTCAGAGTACTCTTTGGCATTATCTGATCTAAAAGCCTTAATTCTCACTACAAATTGTGCGAGAACCATCTGGTGGAACTGTCGTACTAAGTTAGGAACCTCATCACGTGATTTCATCAAATATATCCAAGAATATCGTGTATAATCATCTACAAACAAGAGAAAGTGACGGAATCCTTCCATGGAAGGGATATGATTTGGCCCCCATACATCAATGTGAACAATATTAAAAGTAGTACTTCTTTTATTACTTGGTTTAAAAGACTGTCTACAATGCTTTATTAACTGACAACTCTCACACTCGAAAGTAGATAACTGAACAGACTCAAACAACTTTGGGAAAAGGCATTTCAAAGAACTAAAGGAAAGATGTCCCAAGCGATTGTGCCAAAGCATAATCTGGTTCAATGACTCTAACCCACTACTACTGTTGCTGCTAACATGATGGCCCTGATGTCTCGGAATCTCATCCAGAAGGTAGACTCCATTCACCTCACGACCACTCCCAATCATCTTCTTTGACTCCAAATCTTGCAAAACACGATTACCAGGAAGAAAGGTCACGGAACAATTCAAGTTTTTTGTCAAAAAAATAATAGACAGTAGGTTGGTATGAAGTCTAGGGACATGTGAAACAGAAGACAGAGTTATATCATTGGTCACTCTAACTATCCCCTTTCCAGCAATGGGCATATATGAACCATCTACTGTAGAGACTCTGTCTCTACCAGAGCACAACTGATAGGAACTGATAAGGGTAGGGGCATTAGTCATGTGCTCAGATGCTCCTGAGTCTATAATCCAGGGGGGTCCCTCCTTACCTGAAGTGGATGCAAGATTTGTAGTTGCATATGAACTACCTGTATGTACAAAGGAAGTGGTGTAGTTGGCTCCTACATTCTGCTGTCCATCTGGAAGGATAGAGCTAGGTTAATCTTTCTTACTCATAAGCTATCCAAACCTCTCTGATTCTATTTTCACTGCTGCTACTACAATGGATTCCCAATCAGTTTGGGAAAGAGGGGCTGAAGAGTCTCCATTAGTAGCTACATTTGCATTTCCCTTCTTATTTCTTATCCGAGCAGGCATAAGATTTGGACGAAGCTTCCAATAAGTGTCCCTGGTATGCTTAGGCTTCTTGCAATAATCACACACTAAGTCCTTCTTATCTTCCCTTCTAATCTCACTACTCCCCCTGTCTCCATTCGGCTTAGGTTTTGTTGTACCAACCATAGCCGACTGGTCAATCCCAGGCTGTCTCAACATTACATTCCTCCTACTCTCCTTTCCAGAGACAAAGGCATAGGCTTGAGAGAGTGTCACATGCTCCCTAGAAAGAATATGCTGCTTAGGAATGTCAAATTCAGGGTTCATCCCTGCCAAGAACTTGAAAACTCTATTCCTCTCTACCAGTCTGTGATAGGTTGCTGCATCATTTACACTTTCCCATACCACAGTTTCTAAGTGATCTATTTCTTGCCATAGGGTTTTCAGCATGGAGAAATACACAGYAAGAGGTTTTTCTCCCTGTTTCATACTTATCACCTAATTTCTTAACTAATAGGCTCTGGCTTCATTTTGCTTCTGAGAGTAGGTTTCRGTCACTCCATCCCAAATCTCCTTAGTAGTATTAGCCCATAGGAAATTTTTTGCAATATGAGATTAATATAGAATTACACAGCCAGGACATTACCACGTAATTCTCCTGCACCCATCGAGAAGAGTCTGTATCAGGTTTCTTCTCCTCCTAGTGAGATACCCTAAATTTCCACGGGCACCAATAGCCATCTTAGCTGATTGTGCCCACTCCAAATAATTTGTACCATCAAGTTTTACTATAGTAATGATCCCAAACTCAAAAATAACACTACTACCTCCAACATCCAATCCCACAGTACCAGTAGATTTCAATTCGGTATTCCAACTCTCCATCTTATTTCAAACAGTTCAACAGTAAGAAAAAAATAGATTGGAGTCTTTCAAAAAATAATTTAATATCACACACACAAAAACCAACCCTTCCGGAAGAAGAAAACCCTATATGGAGAGAAATCTCTCTCCTTCCCACACCTCCCAACAGAGAGAAGAGTGAATCAATCACTCTGGGAGGCTGAGAAAATTCCATAAACCAAACTGCCCTATTCAGAAAATCAAAAGAAAACTAACAATGCCTGGGCGCTTAAGATTAGATAAAAAACAAAGAGTCCAACTTTTCTGGGACTCTTCGTCGTACTCCAGCTCTTCCTGATTTTGATGTTGAACAGTAGATTACCTTCCTGGTGACTAGATCCCACCAAAAATCCATGAACTGGGCAATCTATAGAAGATCGATCAGCCCTTTACTACTTCATGTAGTCGGCTGATCTAGGGTTACATGAGAATGCTTCAAGAAACCCTAGCCGATGCTCTGATACCAAGTAGAAATCTGCTGAATTAAAAAATATGAAAGAAAACTAGTTTCTTGAAGAGAGAAGGAGAAGTTGGAAAGAAAAGAGAGCAATAATCTGGCCGCCCCCTTCACTTATTATTTATACTAAAAATGATAGAACAGTACAAAGACAACTATGCCCTTATAGGGCGGCAAAACATAAAACAGCATAGATAACACTCAAAAACATAATAAAATTTGGACTTACATAACTACTGTGGTCCCCACCTCCTATCTAACAACTAACATAAAGCATCTACTCAGAAAAACATCATAAAACTGATTAATCTTCAACACTGTCCTCCCCTCCAATAAAAGAAAAAGAAAAAGAAAAAGAAAGGAAAGGAAACAATGAGATCATAAGAACTTAGTGCCTCCACCTACTTTTTCCTGGACTTTTTATTATTTTTTTTGGAGTATGCAGGAAGGTTTAAATGCACCTATTCCTACACTTCACGTTAGCATTTATTGACCTGACTGATGAAACGTTGTCCTAGTTCACTGTATTGTGGGTGAATCTTTCTTGACAAACAACCAATCCCCTTTTTAAAGGTGCATATTTCTAGTAGTTAATGAACATGAACCAGAATACAAGGAGAAACATTAATTCAGTTGTCTCTAGTAGTTCACATTTTATATTGTTTGATGTTCTTTCTTCCACATTGTCAGATGCCTTTTTGCTTCATGAAATTCTCTTTGGATGAAAATCCCTTGGAAAGTTTGTTGTTCTTGCACTTGTAGGTGTTCTGTATTTTCTGATCATGCAGTTCAAGCATTGCTAGATTAAAGCATGAACAGAGCACTCCTAGTTTCTTGCAATTCCTTCTGTGTCAAGTTTTACAAACATTAGCTTGGCATCTTTTCCAAATTTTGGTTCTGTAGAGGGCCAAAAGGGCCAATGTTCTGTAGAGGGCCAAAAGCTTTGGGTTTTCATAATCATACTTCATGCAAGATTCCAATGTTCTGCACTACAGTGGCTGCAAGGACTTGAATTGGATCAACTATCCTTTTCTAGTCTAGGTATCCAGAAATAAGCATTTAAAATTTGAGTATAATCAGTTTTTCCCCTATTTTGTCTAGTCTGGTATCTTCATGGTTATTTTTCTAGCTTAAGAATTCATGTTCACTGACAGAGTGCAGTGTGAGTGAGACAGGAATTTTATAGCGTCCTCATATAGTTGGGTTAAGATTTTATTGGGAGCTATCTTATTCCTTGTTCCAATATCTTCACGAGTTTAATCCAAGTTACTGTTGTTCAAAGTGCCTTTGCCTGCTAGCTTCTGTATATATTTACTGGCAACTAACGGGTCTACAAACACTCTACATTCATAATTACATATTCCTCTTACAAACTTGAAAGCACATTTTTGTCTGTGCTTTTCATTTGCAAACCTTTATGGTTGAATCATTTTGCAATTTAGCTTAGTGTTAGTCATTATTCTTTTCATATCCTGGAGTAGTGATCCTTGATATGGAAAATGATGTGTTTTGATCTGGGGGATTGTTCCTCTTTCCTCTCTCTCTCTCATTAAAAATTTGAACCTTAAACCAAAGCGCATTCATGTGTGTGACCTTGTATGAACACCATGGAATGCCATGATTCCACACAAACATAGATTAGAGGTCCTTATAATAAAAGTGCTGGGCAGAATCTGTGGGGGGGATGTTTCTTTGTCTAATAAAATCTTACCTTGCCTTCTTCAAAAAAAAGAAGGGAAAAGGGAAAACATCAAAAGGGGTTGATGCCCTTTTCCACTTGACTAGATACACCGCCAAATGGATATCACAGAATGTCATATACTCATATATATGAGGAACACAAATTTCCATCATTCCATGTGTAGAGGTTTGTACAGTACCTAAGGAAACTTACAAGCAAAGGAGAATGGCTTTTTAGTCTTAACGTATTTGCTTGCCATTTCATTTATGCCAATAATATTTCTCTAATCTGTGATGGATGTGGATGGTCAGGGATGTCGTAATGGAAGCTCATGTTTCTTTTCTCATGATCTTGGCCCAACCGTTTCATCATTTAGCGGGCCAAGTCTGCCAGAAGATGAAGATGTTAATGCTGCTTCGCTTCTTCGGTTGTTACCCACGGCTCCTGATGGATGCATTCTTTTATTGGATGATACTGATTTACATTTCTCCTCCAATCTCTCTGTCCACTATGATGCAAGTAGGATGGTTTCCACCACGTGTCTGTCATCCACCTCCATATTTGCTGCTTCACTATCAGATGTCAGAATATTGTGGGCCCTGAGTCACCCAGACCAGACAATTCTTTCGAAAGCATCAGAAAATTCTGTCCCGTGGAGAGAAGTGCAGTGTGTCCTATGGTTTGCCAAGTTTGCTGATGGTAATGATAGACTGAATTTGGAAAAGCAGCGTGCCCTTGTACAGAACTTTTTTGAAAACCTTGCCATCAGAATTTTGGTAGACACTTTGTATGGGGTGCGGGTGATCCTAACCATGAACAACATTAGATTTTCACATTTACAGGTACAGTTAGTAGTTGGTGAGCTTTAGTTCAGTTTTGGCCCCACCACTTTGCTAATGCCATTTGAGGTAATCAATCATATTGCAAGGAGACCTGGGCTTTTCTGGCGGATACTTCTAAGCTAGATCCTCAGATGTGGCCCTACTATGGAGCAATTGTAAAACAGTAAAAGGAAACGGCTGTGAGAAGTATTGACCGAGAAGCCCTATGTGTTGTAGCGATTTTATGGTGTAAAATATAGGTCTGCCTAGAGTTATGTCTCATGATCTCTATGATGTGGGGATTGCTAGATTGCCTCTTGATAGGATTTACAGAGAAAACATTACCTGAGACCCTGGTCACAGAACAACTCAACAACCCTCCAGTGGTTTTTGAACATGCTAGTGTTAATCAGGTACCGGTTTGACGTGATATTTTGTCTTTTTCACCACACACTGGCATGTTCATTAATCACTGGGGGTCATTGAGTTGTTCTGGGACCCTGGTCGCAGGTAACACTCTTCCTCGGTTTTATACGTCTTGAGCTTGTAGATCAATTGAACTGATTTTGAACTTTCTGTGATGATGGGTGTTGGGTTTTCATTGTTGTTTCAGGTGGAAAAGTTGGGCAGAGAATGTTTCTTCTTCCTAACTGAGTCATTCCCGTTTGATGAATCAAGTTTCGGGGAGTTCTACGACACATTCACCACCAAGAAACCAATGATGGTGTCGAGGCCCATCTGTTACGTCTTTGATCTCCACCCACCTACTGACATTCAGTTTGGAGATTATGCTGCCACATTTCACAAGCATCTACACGGTAGCCAATGAGAGATGGACAAGTTTTGGCCTGGAATGTTCATATATCAGTACACATTCCAACTTTCAAAGTTCAGCGTACTGCGATCACTTGTAAAGTTGTACAGGGAAAATCGGTAGCATCCGAACTGCAAAGTGATGTAAACGGCAAGCCGAATCTCTTGCTAATTAAATAGAAAAGTCACGAGGACTATCAATGTAAATAGAAGCCTATCTTAGTTCATTAGTTCCTTTCATTTGGTGGTTTGATAATTGCCTTGCCGCTAGAAGAGAGTAGCTTAAGTGCTTAACAGAGATCTCATTTGAATGCTCGCTCGGGGTTTTTTCTACAGACACTTGTGAGTGCCTGTGGCACGCCCATCTGTAACTTGGACGGTTTTGGCCGAGAAAATTGGGATTTGCTCCTCACAGAACGCATCTCACATCGTGTATTGGAAACATCTCCTGTGGATAACAACACAAAGTATGGGAGATGTTCCCGATGTGCAGCTGAGACGTGTTGCGAGGTGAGGACTGAGGAGAAGATCCGGGCTCCGGCCAAGAAGCCTCTGTGGCTTTGTTATGATCTTGGAGAATGGATTGGTTGTATTTATCTCTTCATATTAAAGGAGAGAAGGTCCAAATGATCCATTTTCTTAGTGGGTTTAATTATGATGCCAGACAGATTTATAACCAATCAAACGGCATCATCATAGTGGTAATCAATTATGTGGTTTTTTATCAAAATTCACGGGTTCTGATTGATCAAAGTCTTTCTGGCATCATAGTGATAACTTATCAGGTGGGTTTTCATCAAAATTCATAGAGGTTTTGATTGGTCAAAGTCTTTCTTGATTTCATGTGTTTCTGGCATCATAATTAACATGATGCGGACAAGATATGATACCGGAAAAACTCTTAACCAGTTACTCAACCGGCATCATCATAGTAATAACCAATGAAGTGAGTTTTCTTCAATAATTGGTTTCTCATCAATGCAAAAGTAGTCAAAAAAGTGGAGCTGCAGTAGCCTATAGGTGCATGAATTATATGCGGCAGCCATTGGGCTGGGCTGGGCCCTGAGAAAACAAAGAGGTTCTCAACCTATTATTGGTAAGCATTAAGAAATAAGAAATAAAAATACTCTCTTTTTCTAAGAGTATAAAAGAATTGTTTGATGATGATGTTCTTGCGTGACGTGATGGGCTCAACCTCAACGACGCCAGACTTTCAGTTTCAGCAAGCAACATTATGACTTTGATCTTAAGAAGATACGAATCCATTTTTTTTCTTCTTTCTTGAGGGGCCCATTTTGACTCTGGAATCTCACTACAAAGCTTAGACCTCGAGTAATTGAACGCCCTAGCCTCGGTCCCATTACAGCCTCCACCCGGCCGGTTGTTATATCCCGAACCCTAACAAATTGTTGTTCAGTCAATTTTTCGGGCTTGGTTGTAAGTAAGGCTGTTTGTGAACTCGATTTATCCGACCAATATGATCCAATTCAGTCATGTAATGTCACATGTAACGAAAATTAACGCTGCTAACAATTAAGGTAGACTTAGTCAATTGCCAAAAATAATAAGGATAGTGTTGGTTAATTTTCAAATAATAAAGATATATTAATAAATTAGCTAAATCATAAAGATAATTTAAGAAATTTACCCTTTTGTTAAAGCAGTTCGACCAGACCAAACCAGACACCAGATCTCCCTGTCAGAACTCAACAAGGTCGGCCAATCGTGGCCATCCATTTCATATTGCCGTTTCTCCTTTGACGAACCGGATGTCTTTAACAGATTCCTGCCCGATCCACGGATTCTCTTCAATTTTCATATCCCCGGAGCCGGGGAATCAAGGACCCGACGGGGATTTTACTATTTGTTAGTGGGGATTTGATAATTTCATATCAAAACTAGTGGCAACAAATAGCTGAACAAGCAAACGGTGAGTATACTGTTTGTCTGGCTGGCATTCTGCTTCTTCCAGAATTCTCTGAAACCTCTCAAAAACCCACGAGACATTCCTCCATCTCTCTCTCTCTCTCTCGCGCGCCTCTGCTACAAACCCTAATTTCATTAAAGCTAAAATGATGTCGGAATCTCTAAAACAATGACACACAAAACCACCCTGAATTCACTCCATGCCTTAGAATCTTGCACATTTCAGCTCCATAGCTGGAAACCCTTTCAGCTGCAAACCCTAACCAAAACCCTAGAGTCTGATCTCTGCAATTCAAAACCCTACTCTTCTTCGGCCTCGAACACCGGCAATGGCGCTCATAGCAAGAGGCCCTGCCTCTCCGATCGAGCCACCGCTTTTTCGATCGACAGTCTCGACATGTCCAAGCTAAGTTTATTTGAAGACGAGAGGACGCCTGGGGCACGGCCTCATAAGAGGGATAATTTCCGGTGGATCGCCCGTAAAAGGAGGCGTAGAGGGTCCCGATCGGTCTCCGGCCGCAGCAGCGACAAGAGCGGTACCCGCCGATGCTGCTCCGTTGGAGCGTCGGCAGCTTATGCCACGTGCTCTGATTTCCATGTTGCGGTGGGGACGGATTCCAGTGGAGAGTTGTTTCTGAATGGGGATGCCTATTGGTATTCGGACATTAGCGAGGCGAGGAATTCCAGGAGGGAAGGGAGGGATGCTGGGGGAGGTGAGCGGGACAATTTGGGTTCTAGTTCTTGGCAAATTGGGGCCTTTGATGCTCAAGGGAATGAATCTGGCTATGGGAGTGAGCCAGGTTATAGAGGAGATGCAGAATTCGGCTATGGCGATGAGCTCGACGAGGAAGAGGACGAAGGAAGGCTGTTGTTTTGGGGTGATCGATTTGGAGGTACATCATGCAGTGTCTCTTCTAACTACTTATCTCTTGATTTTGGCTTATATTTACTGAATTACTTGTGGCTTTGTTACATTTATCTTGGTTGAGCGTAATCATAAACTCTCCCCTTTTGTCGATGGATTCTAGTCTTTCTAGACTAGATTCAGATCATTGGGGCTGATCTTGCTGTGGATATTTAAACATTATTGTACTGGGTATTTCCTTCTTTTTCTTTTTTTGGTCTTTTTAGTGATTTGGGCGACGATTCACAGAAATTCATTCAATGCTTTTAGGCCCTTGGGGAGTGGAATTGTTCGGGAACAATCATAGAAGTGACCTTATCATATGCTTATTTGAGGTGTTTATAATTTGATATGATATCAACGAAGTTGGTCCTTCATTGATCATGAAGATGATACCACGAAGGTAATTGAAGGGGGAAAATGATACCCAGGTTAGGATTTTTTTTACAAGTCCTAGGTTATGATTGACTACTAATTCTTTTGTAGTAACCTCATTTTGGAGCTTAGCCAATTCCCATGGTGTTCTTTCTTCTATAAAAGGTATCATTTGTAGACCACTCAAGGAATTGCGTGGGAAAAGGGCACTTAGGCTTTGAAATGGTATTATATCAAGGGGAACTCATTTGTAGACCACTTAAGTATCCTTGGTTTTTGCTTTAATAGAAGGAATTATCAAGGGGAACTTATTTGTAGACCATAATGGTATGCGTGCAGGCATACCTCTAATGGAGTTTCTTAATAGTTGGATGAAATGAAGTTGATGGAAATGGTGTTACTGTATATTGATTTGGACTCTTAAGTATGATTTTTGGGCATTTTAGACCAGGATTCTGATGGTTGGAAATCATTATTGAGGGAGGAGGAGGCCAGTAGGATGTGGTGAAGAAGAATGATCGATCACTTGTGGAGGAGCAGGAGGAATAGAGAAGCTATTATGATAGCTGATGTGTTGATCCCCTTCCAGACCATGAGAAGTGTATAATAAGAGAAGTTACACTATCCTATGTCAACTGTATGCCCTTGCCTCCTGATCTTTCCATCTGGCACTGTTTTCTTGGTTATCCAGAAAGTCTCCCCTAGTCCCTTTCCAATCATCTTCGATGAATTGACCCAGTTGGATCCTCATGATTCTAAATTCCCATCTAAGAGTGCTCTCTAGAACTAAGATTTTGGCTTGTTAAGCAAGACTTGGTTTTTTATGGTGCCAACAATGTTTTAAAAGCGCAAGGTGCAAAAAGGGCGCAAGGGCCAATTTGCGCCCAAGAAACATATTACATTCCTGCTTCTACGAGTCACCTTTGTGCCACGCCCCTTGGGGAAAGCCCACATTAGTCCATGTTAGGGTCTTAAATTCTTAATTCTCACACACAAAAAAATTAATGATTTTATAATTTTAACTGCCTTTTAAGAAGATATTTTATTAGGATGAATGATTGAACAACATTAGCAAATAGGGGGTTCTTGGATTTCTTAAAAGGCAATTAAAATTATAAAATCATTATTTTTTGTGTGAGAATTAAGAATTTAAGACCCTAACATGGATTTGTTTGGGCTTGCCTTGAGGGGTGTGGTCGGGGGAGCCACTAGGTTCAAAAAAAGCAAAAAAGCGTAAAATTTTCAAAAAGGCGCATGCTTGGACCAAGGTGCAAGGTGCACCAGGCGTGTGCCTTTTGAAAGTGCTGCGCCTAGGACCTGGGCGAGGTGCTTACCCTAAAATGTGCCTCGCCAGTGCCAGTCTGCCAGACCAACATCCTTTCAGATTCCTGTTATAGCCTCAATGGTTCCAGCAATGTTGTTGCATGCCATGGCCATGATTGTAATTGTGTATATGATTTCAGCCCAGAAGGATCTGGTAGATAATGATTTGTGGCACATCATTCAAGTTGCCTGACAACCATGCTGGTATAATATAATCAAGTAAATTACATACTGGCATGCATTGAGAGAATTCCTCTATTGTGCTATCATTGAGGTGACACCAGGTGAATTGTTTCATATAAACATCATGGATTTAAATATTGAAGTGAAGAAAGTGAATGCTTTAATTGGGCCTTTGTCAAGCCCTTGCCATGCAGTATAGGTTCCAGTAAGGTGGTGGAGGGGTGCATTTAGCAGCAAGGAACAAACTAATCCCCCCTTCACCTTATGTTGAAGTGGACCAATCCTATGACCGCTTCAGTGCTAACTATAAGAACCAAAAGCTTTGGTGAAGTTTCTATTCCAATCTAATGATCTTTAGAAAAAGGTGCACTATTTTCCAAGTTGACTACATATCATATTTGCTTTTGTGTTGGAGCCTTGGTTTTCAACTCCTTTCGAGTTTGCCTATAAGCGTCTTTTCCATTTTACTATGATTATGTGCAGCTGTTGGAATACCTGATTAATAAAATGCTTATCTAACCTTGGGAAGTACTTAGAACGCCAGATATAACATAGTGACTTTGGTTCTACTTTGTATGCAGATTATGATATGGAGATGGTTGGGGAAAACACATTCTCAGAGCAAAAAGTTCATCACAGGTGCAGGCGTAAGAAGCAGTAAGAATGATTGATTCAAGTTGATGAAATCTACATGTCAAAGTGGTTCCACTGTATTATCAGGTGCTCACTCCTTCAGCAAGGATCGGTGGTTGCTGGAATTTTCACTGTGCTGAACATATTTATTAATCTGCACAGTGCCCTCTCTAAGTCTTGCCTTAATGCAGCATTTGTGAGCCTTTTTTTTAGTAAGCAATGTATCATTTGTGTACTGCCTTTGTTGTTTGTTCCATTTCTCTGGATTTGGTTGGCTTATAATGGATTGATTGTATTCTTTAAAAATCAATTGGGTTATATGATTCTCACTTGTTTCTCAATTCCCATCCTTTTTTCTTCGCTGGCGTATAATTGTGGGGAGAGAGAGAGAGGAGCATTTGAGTGAAATGTGTTAACACGCTTATAAATGTTCTCTGTTTTTTCCTGTTGTGTGGCGATCAGTCAAGACTGACCTTTGAATCCAAATGCAGCACGTTCTTAATGAACCAGCTAATGATGAATGGAGGTCCACGGACAAGGCTGCGTTTGTTTTTGGTGTAAATAAGGACTGGTATAAAATTCCACTCTAATCCGTATTTTCATGCGTTTGTTTTCAGGAGCAAGGTTCAAGTATCGGCAGATACGTATCGTTATGGGACCTTTCCGATATGCCCCTATAGTGGAAGAGTTTTAAATCGGCCTCTTTTGAACCGGCTTTGAAAAAAATAAAAGAAAAAAGTAAAAAAAGGATCGATTCACCCGATGTATTTTTACATCTATTATAGACCAAAAACAAACGCAGCCTAAAAGAATTTGAAAACTTTGGTCATACTTGGGTGTTAGATTGGCGATCACTGTCCCAGTGTCCGAATTGATCCTGACTCCTGATGGAAGGAGTGGTTCTGTTAGCATGGCTTTTAACTGTGTGTATGCTACTATTGACTCGTTGGACTTGGGTCCATCTCGTCGGGATTCCATTTTGGGGCCGAACCCAAGGAAGACTACAGGTACCTAAATGGGATCAACCCACCTCAGAATTATTAACCCCACCATCAGGATGGGATGAATCCTACCGTGGATCGATGCAAATCCATGGGGGGGGGGGGGAGCTATCTAATAGAAGTCATTAATTTGCTAGGTGCCAATACCTTTCTGGTACCATACCATCACTACTATGGCGGGACTCGAAAAATGGACTTTTAACAGTTTTTCCCGTTTAGTTAGGCCAATTGGCCCAAAACTATTTATTAATGGGCTGGCCCGGAAAAGGCCCAAAGGATCAAAGAGCTAATTAGGTCATTTATTTTCTTTCTTTTTTTTTCGTTTTTTTAACAGACCAAATGAAGATCAATGTACAAAGAGGGAGAGGGAAAGACGACAGAAAATGGGAAGAGGAACAGCAGAGGCACTCAGTGCTTACAGAGCCCTGCTTCGAGCCACTCGGAAATCGTTTGCCGGTGACACACTGATGCTTAATGAGTCGGCTCTAGAAGTAAGGAAGAAGTTCGAAGAGAACCGTAACGTAACGTCCGAAGAGGAGATAAAGAAACTCCTTGCCGATGCTTGCGAGGCTTCAGATTTCATCTCCAACATGATCGTCCAGGCCAAACTCAATTCAAGAGGCGGTTTCGGTAAATAAAGCCTCCTTAAATCTGACTTCGTGCTTCTTTCTCATATCCTGTACTTTGATGGATACTTCCATTCTCTTTGTTTTTTTGGCAATGAAGGTTATTTCTACACTATTTATATTATGCCCATCAACTGTTTGTTCGTCTTCCTTCCCAGTCTTTCCTTTCTCGTTCGGTGCTATCCATTTTCTTTATGAATTTTATGAGAAACATGTGCAATCTAGGAAGACTAGTCTGTTACAAGTTCGATTAAAATATATAATTTCCTAAATTATATTCTACTTGTAGAGAACTAGTTTCCGGGTATTGAAAGACCTTGATTTGTTATAACTTGAAGTGAGAAATTGAACAGACTGTCAAAACGTCTAAGGACGGTCTCCTGTCCTGCGTTGCCAATGAGCAGTAAAGGTTATAAAAGCATCAGTGGCCGTTGCATCATTTTAACTGCTGTTACTTTTAAGCTGTGTCCACATTGATGTATTGGTTCTCTTGTGAAGAAAGTACTGAAACCAGGTGCAACTCAGGAAGATCAGATTGGCATACTAAATATCTGAACTAGTTGGGTAACGTCAAGCATTTGAATGTGAATTGCAGTGTATAGAGATGGAAGTGTGTGGTCATTAGTGGTAGGTAACTTCTTTTGAACAAGGCATTTATATTCGTATCCTTCCCTATGTGAATTTCAGTGTATAACAGAAATACTCTGTTATAGCTCTGTCAATGGATGCACTGTATTGTAACAATACGATATATTTCCTGGACAGATTTCTAGGTTACCTGAAAAACAGTCCTTTCTCAAACGAATCATGAACAAGGCAGTAAAACAACAGAAATAGACAATATCAAGTCAAAGATACTGCAAAAACACAAGAAACAAGCACACCATGATTTTTAACATGGAAAACCTCTTCAATGTGAAGAGGAAAAACCACGAGGCACTAACCCAGTAAAATCTCCACTATAATGATAGTAATGGGAATACAACAGCTGTCTAGCAGCAGCTAGAAGAAACAAATCATCAAGAAAGGAAAAACCCCTTGGTTACAATTCAAATCTCTCACCAACAAAGTAGAATACAATCAAGAAAGAATCAACAATACTTCTCACCTCAAATGGAAGAATAGCCTCTTCGGAACAAACTTTAGAGAAGCATAACAAAAGCAATTTACTGTGGTATGAGCCTTCACGGTAAACGTTGCTTCTCCAAGAAAACCCTTGAGTTTTTTTCTTTTTTTTTTTCAAAACCCTCCAATAGAATAGCAAAAATCTCTCATATGTTTCCCTCTTTTTTCCTTTTGAAAGAACATAATGAGACAAGAGGGAAATTACTCACTTTCACCAACTTCTCTCCATATAAGTTCAGTGGGCCTTCCCTCATGGGGCTTGACCCATCGCCTATGGTATACCCAATACCATGTATGAATCATTTCTTTGAACATACTTAAAATACTCTTAAGAGTTGTTGATTCATGAAAAATTGTTCCTTACCTGGAAGGAGAGTGAACACCTTATTTCTGTGATGTATGTTATTTGATGATGATGTGGTATTGATTGACAAGACTAGAATTGGTCGAATGCAAAGCTAGAGCAATGGGGAGATGTTTTAAAATTGTTTTAATACAAGTCTGAGAATGTTCTGTACATGCTTTGCAATTTTAGTAGAAAAATTAGTAGCATAGGTGGTGCAAGTAAGACTGATGATCAGAGGATACCCCAAACTGATCACTTTTGTTACATTGGATGAGTCATCCATAATGAGAAAGAAATCAGAGAGGATGTTGCCACCCAAAGCCCATAGAAATAGAACAGGGTGGATGAAGTGTGGATCTGATGTGTTGTGTGACTGGCGCATACCAATAAAACCATGGACATTTTGTGTAAGTCTCAAAAACATACCACAAATCCTCCCAACTGGTGCATTTTGTGCAAGTTGAATGGTGAGACTGCTTACCACCTCTTAATCTCTGGTCCTTTTGTTTGTTATATTTGGGAATGGTTTTGCTCTCTTTTTGGTTGCAGGTGGATCCTTTCTGTTTGTTTGGAAATGCTCTTTAGCCCATCTTTTTTGAGAGGCACAAAGAAAAGAGGTAGAATATTGTGTAAGTGTGCAAAGGGCAGCAGTAGTATCGATAGTTTAGGAGGAGAGGAACTTAAGAATCTTTGAAGATAGAGAAAGAAATAAGGAGGCAGCCATTGAGACTGTTATACTAAGAGTAACACACTGGGTTAAGACTTAGGAACTGTTTTCAGATTTTTCAGTGGAAGACTTTTTTTAGAAATTGGGGGGGTCGATAGCTCTTTCCTCCTCTAGGAAACAAAAACTCCTTGAGGTATGGTCTCCCCCAATTGGAGGGTGGATGAAACTTAATTTTGATGGAAGTAGTTTGGGCAATCTGGGACCCTCCGGAATTGGAGGAGTGATACGAGATGGGGGTGGGAATATTTTTGGTCTGTTTTCAGGCCAACTGATTAGGGTGATTCAGTGAGTGGAGGAAAGTTACAAGGGATAATTAAGAGGGGAGGACAAAAATGAGGCTGATTTCCTGGTCTGTTAGGGGGTTTTTGAGATGGTAGAAGAAGGATGTTAGTAAGGAATCGAGGAATCTCTAAAGACAAGGAATGGATGCTAGATAACTAGGTCGGCAGTAGGCCAATCTACCATAGTTTTGGCATTGATATTGCTTGAGGCATCTCATCTACTGGGAGAAGTGGAGATTTGAAATTATATTTCTTTTTGTTCTATTTTTGTTATTAGGTGTTGCTTCAACACCCATCATGGATATACTACTTTTTTTATTAATGAATTTTCTTTTTTACTTAAAAAAAAACAGTGGGAGCAGAATTCATGGCTGCTATTGTTGGGGTGCAAAAATGGAGGAAATGGGAATCACAAGGCTGATTGTAGAAGGGGGTCAAAGATAATCATTTGGTTAGTTGAAAAGAAGAGAATGGGTTTTATTGGCAATTTAGAAATGAGTTCAGGCGGTTCAAGATGTTGTCAAAATAGATATACATTCATGTAAGATGGGTTAGAAGGTTTGCTAATGGTTTGGCGGATGGATTAGCTAAGCAAGGAGTACATAGATATCATTTATATTGGGCTCAATGTTTTTTCTTTTTTAATTTGAAGAATAGAATGAAAAATTCATTAAAGAAAAACTTAATACAAGCATTAGCGGGTGATGAGGCAACACCCAGAAAACACTATCCAAACATGACACAATTACATCAAACTAAAGGGAAGAAAACTTTGAGTCCACAATTTCACGAAACCAATGCACAAACCCTCTGCCAGCTTGCCCACACCTTAATCTTCTCCTTCAAACACTTCTTCCTGCCTATCTCCTTCCTCATTCCATGCCTCTCTTCATTCCCCTACTAAACCTTTCTTTAAATCTCCTCCCTCTTGCTCCTTTCAAATGCTTCAAAAGCCCGTCTAGCAAAACCTTTGTCGCCCCAAAAGAATAGACCTAAACTCCAGCCAATTCTTACATCTCTTGCAGCTAAATCCTCTACCTCCAATCCACCCTTTTCTTCCTTGCTATTTAAAATGGATTTACTCATTGGGATTCATCTCCTCCACTCCTCCACTCCTCCCCTCTCCTTTTTGTGAACCCCCAGCTCTCCAACTATATCAACCTTTTTCTCAAACGCAACAAACCTGTGGGTCACGACACCATCTAACACTTAAGTCTCGGAATCTTTTTTCTCAGCTATCTCCTTCATTGCACCTTTGGACTTCATTATAAACCCTCTTGAATTTGTTTGTTGGACCAGCCCCTACCAAGCCCTCTTTCAGTCTAGAGAACACTTTAGACTCGAGGTTTCTTTAAGCCTTAATAAAATTCTGTTTTGCTGATCCAAAAAAAAAAAACTATGGACATGACCAAAACCGTATGAGGGGTCTCTGAACCATATAATTGAGTTCTCCTTAGCATGCCTATATTTTCTCAATCTTGTATGGCTTCTGTACACAACTGCTCTATATTGAATAAATGATTATATTTTCTGGAATACTTCTGTTATAGGACAATATTTTGAAAAGAGGCTGAACAAATAAAAAACTGAGGAATAAGGGTTCAAAGTGGGCTGTAGAGGGTAGATTTTTCAAGAAGATGAGCAAAATGGGCTGGACTAATTAATGAGCGAAGAGAACGAAGATTGAAGGTTTTAGGTGTAGAGAAGGCAGAAGGGAATCATGGAAAACAGAAAATAGGTACAGAGAAAGAAGGGAGGTTGAGGAGTGTCACCTCTAGTCTTGTCTAATCATGGACAAAAATCTGAATGGCATCTTACCATTGAAGGTATGGAATCACACACAAACAGTGACAACGAGAGTGGAATCTTCCAATATGGACTAAAAAGATACTCCTAAATGAACTTTTCCAAATCTTCAGAAAAAGTGGAATCTTCCAAAGATCCTTGTGAGGCTATTACAAATTTGAGCAACCTCTGTTTTGTTGTGGGGACTAACTGAATGTGGTCTTACAACAACCCAAATGCTGGGCTATCAGCATGCCCTACTTGGCTTCTTCCCATCTGATGACGAATACCCTGCACATGGCTAATAAGTAACTACTTGAAGGAGATGTGTCCACTATTCCTTGATTTCCTTGCCTAGCTAGAAGTTTTTCTGTGCCAAAACGATGCTACCAATCAATCAACTTTGATGCCCAGATATGGATACTGACACAGACACAAGTATGGGAAATTGGGATGACTCCATTTCCTAACATCCAGTCACAAATGTGGGTACAGTATCCCATTTAAAATGCTTATATCGTGCTTTTATATATAGTCTTTTAATTCTTCAAGTCACTTGTTATTTTCTTAATACTTATTATCTTGCCAAATTTCATTAAGCTTCTAATATACACAAATCATTTCTAGTAAGATTTGTTAGGGCATTTTAAAAGTGCAAATGCTACAAACTGTACTCTAAGGTGTGCATTCAGTATCGAGTTCAGATTTGGTACATTATCATGTCCAAGACTGATAATTCTGGGATTGTAAAGGTGTCCAAGTATCATAATTGATAAATAGGCAACTTGTAATGCAGGATTGCAGGGATCTTATTTATTTCAATTGCTTGGTTTGATGGTAAAATCCCGGGCTGACAAGCATGAGAAAACATGTAAGAATCCAAAAGTGGCTATTTTGTGCAAAAAAAAGTGGAGGATAGGTCTGCATTGAGTCCACTCCTTCCAAGACCCTAGATGGCTGTAACCAAGATTAGGTAGTCTTGTTGTGATGGATGTTTTATTGGAAACCCATGTCCATTTGGCAAATGAGGTTCATGAATGGACAGTAGAGAGAGATCCTGATGGTTTGTCTGGATCCATTGTAGTAGATAAGTCAATCAGTGTAGAGATAATGGTTTTCTGAGGTTGAGGTTCCCAGGATGTTATTGGATGTATGTGAGACTGATAAGAGAACCTTAGGAAATTATGACATGTGGTTAGGGAGGCAGAGTCCTCTTGCAGAGTGAACATCTCTTTTAGAAGGCTCCAAGGCCAGCAAATTATGTTTTAGGCGGGACTCTAAAACATAGGCAGCATTTGGCATGTCTTTCCATGTGGTCTTTTGGGCTTTGGCAAGCTTGAATTCGGTCTTTTTCTGTTTGATAACCAAAAGTTGGAAAGATGAGAAGACACGTGTGGAAAGACCCAAAAAGACTGAAATCGCCAAATTTCGGGAAGCTTCAAATGAAAGTTTTCTGGTCTTTCTGTGTGTCTAAACACATTTTTAAAAGCCCGGTAGACCGAGCTGCTTACCTAACGGTCTTTGTCTTTAAAGACAAGACCTTAAAAGCTCAACATATCTCTTGGCCATCTGGGCTGCTAGAAGATCTTTCTAAAAAAACTTGCCAAACGTCACCATAGTTTTTGACTTTATCATAATATAAGCTTTAGGTGTATCTATATTTTATTTTTTCCAAAAATGCATGATACCCAGCCATTGGCTTTCAGTCCAGTGAGTTGATCCAGTTGACCTGCCGCAGTGTCACAGGGCTGTGCGTTGGGGCCCCGTACGGCACTCGTTAGTTGAAGAGAGCCTACGAAGTAAACAAGCAAGCAACAAAGCAACAACAAATGCACACAAATTAGACAAAAGGCTCTTTGTATTGCATAAATTGGTGGCAAGCACAAGCACACAGTTTAGTGTCGAGGGGATCTCGTGCTTAACCTTTACATGCTATTGATTCACTCGACTACCTACCTCCCCTCAAAGCGTCCGTTAAGCTTTTGGGGAAGTGATAGAAAGATACATCAAAATGCTGAATAATCATACTACTATTTACATAATTGCCGTTGGCATACCCCCCTATACAAAAAGCATACAATGACCCACCCAAGACACATGATGACACTTAGATGGTGTGCTGATGGCATGCTTGATGGTGGTGTTGGTGGCTGAACCGTCACAGCAGGGCAGGAAAAAGTTGCTCAGACTGGGCTTTCATAACATCTATGGTGTATGAAAGGGGGTCTCTGGATTTTTCCCTTCTATAGTTGCCAATTGTTGAGTTATATGTTAATATTCTGAGTTTGATTACTTCTAGATCACAATCTTCTAATCTTTCTGGTATGGATGTTTTGATTTGGTGCTTACAAGCATATCCTATAACTTTCCTAACCATCACATGCAAATTGTGGATGCTGCAGAGGTTAAGCCTAGCAAAGAGCATGCAGGGACAACACTTGAGATTCCCTCTGAGGAGACTCTCCCAAGGTCTGTATGAGAGGTAGGGAGGGGAATCATGACAGGTGCTTGGCCATTCATGCTCCAGGTTTGGCATTATTCTATGACTATTTTGTTGGATGTTTTAGAAGAAGGTTGTAACTTTTTCTTTTTTTTTTCAGCATTCTACAGCTTTAATTTATGGTGTATGGTCTATGGTGATAATGTAAACATCTAGAAAACTGTTTTTGCCTAGCAGTTTTGAGGTTCTTCCCTTGGCTCATTCAGGTGTCAAATTTGACTGACAAAATATGATGGTGAAATTTGATTTCAATGATAATAAAATAATATTGGGATAGGACTATAGCATATCTATCAGATAGTTGTGTCCCTATCTCCTGTGGTGTCGGGATTGCACATGAGTTTGATACTTGGCTTGCACCTTCTTCAACTGTGCTTGAGTAATATTAGCTGCCACTATTGTATCTCTATTTTTTTTAATCTAAGGTTGTGTTTGGAAACAATGCAAATGGAGTGTAAATCCCGGTTCAGGGTAAATTTGCACTTTGATTCACTTTTGCCTGTGTTTGGCAACATTACATTTTTGCATTGACAAATGACAGACCAATGCATATTTACATTGATAATAAGATGTCACATCAATAAAAAAAATAAATTTGCATTCAAGTGGGCCTTTGATAAAAAAAAAAGCATATGCTTTATTGGAATTAGTGTTTGCATCCATTACAGCTAAAAGCCTGTTTGGTAAAAAGGCAAATTTGTCAATGTAAAATTAACCCAACTTTACAATTTATATGAACTGTTTTACACTACATATTTTCATTCACATATTTGCAATGTTTCCAAACACAGCCTATTGAATCAATTTTGTGTTGCTGATCAATTCAACAAGCAATTCAAGATTCTTAGTCACTGGTCAATGTCCATCTTAGCGTTAGGTCATTAGTTTCTATGGCCATATGGTATATTGTAATCTATACTTGCAATACTATCCTTCATGTCCATAAAATGAGACTAGCGAAGGTGAAAATGTTTAGATGGATGGGTGAAAGGACTTTGAATAAAATCGGTGCATTCGGAAGCTAGTAGTAGATCTAATAGGTGTTAAAACAAGGAGTGGTCAAATTATGAGTTTAGATGGTTCATCCATGTGCATACAAGACCCACTGTATAACGAGTTTTTGACAATGGCTGGTGAGAGTATATATTTGGGTTCCAAATGAACATTTTAGACCTGAACTTCAACCGCGTTGGCTGGAGCTTAGGTTCAGCTTCTTTCAAAATTAAATGAAATCCAAAGGAAGCCATCAAGCCACCACATACAGATCCTAAGATCAAAGAGAAGCTGAATGGAATGTGGATTGAAGCATCGAGGATCCAGAGAAGATGTGACCTTTGATGAAGAGGAGCAAAACGTTATTCTTGTAGCTGAAATCCAATTAGTTGGAAAAAAGTTTACTTTGCACCTTCATCTTTCATCGGTAAGTCATCATTATTGATTAGTATAGAATCTACGGAAAAGTATGGACAGGCCCAATGCAGATTTCTGAATTCCACTGCAGACCTATAAACATTCAAAATGTCAAAAACTTTCACTCTATACATCAATGCCCACTCGTGAATTGGCATCAATTCCGAGCTGGCACCTACCCCAACTGTACTTTAGGCCTAAAAATCCTAACCCTGGGCTGAACCGTCATTCTCCCTAGAATCTATTCAGGTGCCGCTTAAGGTATTTGAGTTGTGAATAGAAACTGAATAGAAACATGATATAGCGTTTGGAACCCAAATGTACAAAAAAACCCTAAAAGCACAAAAAACCTAAAACTATCCAAATTGGCTTTTTATACTTTATGTTTTTTGGCGAAATAGTCTCATTTTCACTTTGATAAAACTCTCAACTATGCTTCCGCTCTCTGTTGCTAGAGTTGGACCGCTGTCGCCGGTCTTAGACTGTAAAACCATTGGAGACCATCATTGGAATTACAAAAGGACATGCTTTCCCCAACAAAAAGTGGTACTTCTGTTTTAAAAAGCATACTTTTCAAAATTTTTTACCCAAACAGTTTAAGCAAAAATACCAAAGTATTTTATGTACTTTATATCTTTGGTATTTTTAATAAGTACAAAAAATAGAAGTCTATCCAATAGACATGTTTATGGGCTGGGTAGTCCGACGGGTTGGCCCAGCTTGGCCCAATATTTTTTGGGCTTGGATAAAATTTCAGGCCGATGAGCTCGGGCTCAGGCTTTAAATACTAGGCCCGATTATTTTTTAGGTCAGGCTCAGGCTTTTTCAAATAAACCTGGCTCGATACCATTACATATAATAAAAATATATATTAGTTATATATAATAAATATTATAATATGTATTTGTTTATTAAATTATTATCAAATATTAATTTACTATTCATGAAATATGAATTAATTTATTAAATTAATATAATATTAGTTTATTAAATTACACCAAAAATAGGACATTTTATGTGCTTGGACTTCGGGCTCGGGCCTGAACATTCTCCATTGATGAAGAGGCAAAGCCTGGCCCAGCCTGGCTCATGAACAGATTTACTATCCAAACAGTGCCTAGGTAATTTGTCATGTGCAGGAAACAAACAACCAACCTTTTATCCCGGAAAGAGTATTTGGTCTGGCGTGAACACAACATGGAAATGTGTTACAAACCCTTGAAGGCTAGAGCTTGCCATGAGTGTTTTCGAGGACCCACCATTGAGTGAATGTGGCATAGGAGATATTGCCAGCGAAAACTCTTGCACTTAGATGAGTTTTAACTAGGGGGTATTCATAAAAAACCTAAAAACTGAACTGAACAGAAAAAATCAAACCGAAAAATCTGATTAACTGAACAATTGGAATTGGTTTGAATTTTGGTTAAAAAAAGCCTATGGGTAATTGAATACAATTTGGTTTTCGTTTCGAGATTTTCATACCTATAATAACGGTTCAGTTTCAAAAAATAGCCCACAATTCAATTAATACCCACAGTTTGTACCCTTCATGTTTATTTATAAGTTATAACATCTTTTTTTCCAGTCAATATTTTCATTAGGACTTGTTAATGACTGTGCCTTATTCAATTTTCCTGCAACGCGCATAGATGCTGGCTGGAAGCCTCGAAGTTCCGGCCGCGTTTTCTACTGTTTTACGGGAAACGTTTCTGGTATTCCCGAAGTGAAATATAGTTGTTTTTTCTTCCATTGGGAATGCTAGAAACTTTCTGTTTACCAAGTAGGCAAGTACCGCCTCAGAATACGTCGGATTCAGGTAAAATTGGAACCGACCCGATAGGAAATATTAAAGACATGGAACCGAATAAGACCTAGGGCTTGTAATTTTAGACCTAGAATCAAACTGATTAGTTCTCGTGACAATTGGGTCTAATCCGATAAACCCAATTATAATAAACTTACTATATATATATATATGATGTAGGGGGTCTGGCTAACGTGCAGATCCTGACCATCCATCACTAACTATCGTCGACCGCTGCCACTTGCTCCCAATTACTCCTCTTAAGCAATTCCAATTATAAAGAGGGGTTCCTACATTAAGGTAAACACACGCTGGAACTCAAAACTCTAAGTCTCCTCTCATGCTTGGACTGGCCCCTTAGAGCCCTCTGCTAACTTGATCATCAGAACCTTTGCCCCTAGGATAGCTCCTAGGGCCTACGACATCTTTTTCTTAGCAAGTTGGACCAGTCATCCTTGGATGCTATATATTATGTTATTGCCCTCGGCTTCATATTTGGTAGTAACAATTGGCATCATCTCTGGGAATGTCTTTAGAACTTTCCTTTAAGAAAAAACAAACCAATTTTAATCAACTAGTGTCCCTAAAATGGCTGACAAGCAAGACCTCGTCCCTGACATCTAGATCTTAGTCATGATTGACTAGTTCGACTTGGTCCTAAACAGGCTGGACAACTAGGCCCAACGATTGGACAACATTGGGCGTTCGGCAGGAAGCCACCCATAGGGCAACCGCCCCATCGGAAGCCATGGCCAACACAGTGGACGATCCGCCCGTACCCCACTAAGCCAAAACAAAGGTCATCGGCCCCTTACACAAAACAAAGAAGAAGAAGAAGAGAAAAAAGAGAAAAGAAGGGAGAACATCTTTTGGAAAGAAACTTAAATTGCATTTACTCAAGTGTCTTTACAGAAAAATGCCTCTTATGGGGGAGGCATCAATCCCTTACAAAAAAGAAGAAGAAAAAATATATACAAGTTTTAGGGGCACACAGGCCCAAACAAAAGAAATTAATAAATAGTTTATTGGCCCCCTCTAGTCTGAGCGGTGTCCTGGGCAGTGGTGTCGGCAGTAGCGTCGACGGCTGGGTTCTCGTCCATCCCTACTATATCTACTCTCTATTGCGCTTTAGTGGAAAACAGATCCAGCTTGCCAATGTCGAAGCTCGGAAGGAACTTCATCACTTGGGCCTTGTAGTTGTTGAAGCCCTCTAAGTAAGCCTGGGAGGCAAAGGTGGTTAGATCCGTCTCGTGCTCCTCCGAGGTCTTATATTTTTCGGCCGCCTTTGATGCTGACTCCTCCAACTGTTGCTCCATTGATGCCAGGGTGGACTTTAGCTCCTTTACGAGCTCCCAGTTATTTTCCACATCGGCCTCAACTTTCTTGCGACGCTCATGCTTGTCACGTGCCCGGCCCTCAGTTGCTTGCTACTTTAGGCACTCAATCTCCTCTTGCACCCGCCGAAGCTGTTGGATCAACACCTCGACCTTATTGCAAAGGCTGATTGAGCAAAAGACCATCTGCACATGAAAAAAGAAAATCGTCAGTCACATACCACCAAGAAGACCTCTGCGACACAATGGACTTGAAGAATTGTACACATACCTTAGTAGCCTTGTCCAAGTGTGTCCCAGACCGAATCCACCGAATGCTGTGTCTAGGACTGGCAGTCCCCAGGAAGGACCATGTTGACTGCTAGGTGCCGACAGACACCAAGAATCGACAAGGAGTCCCCCTCTCGGACACTCCATGTCAGTCGGAAGGTCTAATGAGCAGTGAGTGGCTCGTTCTTCCAAGGATCATATGATCGAGGTTCCACCTGATGTGACCCACCCAAGGTCCCCTCGGGCTGGTGTTGCTTACGCAGCTAAAGTCTCTTGGCCTGAGGGTCTCAGGTTGTTTCTATAGGGTGCTTTTGCGGTTGTGTCTTCTTACGGGCCACTTTGGCCTAGACCCATTGTCTTACAATCCCATCCTTTGGTGGATGCTGAGATGTACTCTCGGTAGCTCCCTTCCCGGCGGCTCTCTTAGACGCCACCTCTAGCAACTTCGTCTTCATGTTGCCCTCCATCTCTACAAACAAAAGATGCAAACGGGTCATCATGGCCTTCTCTTCATTTC